CATCCACAGCTTCTCTGGACAACCAATGTGTCACCCACCCTCACAGTGAAGAATTTCTTCCTTATATCTGATATAAATTTACCCTCTTTTAGTTTAAAGCCATTATTCCTTTCTCTTTTCTGTATTATTCCTTTGAGGAGTGCATGCTTCATCCTTAATATGGTTCCATTCTCAGCTTGTTCAGAGTGGTAATAGCTTTATGCAAAGGAAAGAAATGCAAAAGACATGAAGATAAAGTCCTGAGAACTTGATAGGTGCTTATTTTTGAAGGTTCTAATAATTAAAACTAACTTTTTTCTTTTTAATTAGAATTAATCCTGAAAAACTTACGGACATCCAAAAGAAGATGCAGTCTTTCTTAGCTCAAGATAAGGAGTTAAAAGACAAAGCTCAAAGGGTAAGTCATCTGCTCCGCTGTAGTTCTTGAGGCAAGCTAGTCAAAATAGAACTGCTGTTGGAATAACTGACCTGCTCATATGTGTCCTGTCAGCTGTGTTTGGAACTGCTAAATTGTTGTGATTTTTAAGCTTTAAAACATGGCATCAGTAGAAACAATAATCATGTATTAGAGTTGGTCGTAGGTATGCCTGCTATGGCCTGTGTGAGTCGACACAAGCTCAACGTGGGCTCGTGACCCTAATGTCTGAAGAACCACCTGACCTCCCGCTGTTGTGCCAAAGTTAAGGCATAGGTGGGAACATAATTTTAGAGTCTTGGGTATGCAAGTAATTTTTGATTTTATTAGTAACTGCTTCTCAGCTGTTTGAGGGATTTACTTTTTTGTATGAGTCTTTCCCAGCTGTTTGAGCCCTGAACTTGGGGAGGAGTAACCCCATATACCAGTACAGGCTGGGATCAAATGGCTGTAAAGCAACTTTGCAGGAAAAGTCTTGCGGCAACAGGTTGTCCTAATGGAGAACAGGCTGGACGTGAGCCAGTGATGTGGCTTCGCAGCAAAGGTGACCAACCACATTCTGGGCAGCATTAGGCAGAGAGCGCTGGCAAGTCAAAGGAGGTGATCCCTTCCCCTCTGCTCAGCCCTGGAGAGACACATCTGGAGTGCAAAGCTTGATTCTGTGCCTCCAGTACAAGAAAGACATGGTCATACTGGAGACAAGATCAGTGAAGAACCACAAAGATGATTGAGCACTTGCAGTATCTCCTGTATTAGGTGAGAAGTGTAAATAAGATGGAGCCAGAATCTTCTGATTGGTGCACAGCAGCAGAAGAGGAGGCAATGGGCACAGATTTATATGCAAAAAACTCAATTTAAACACAAGAAAAAAGCTTTTATTATGTGGGTGGTTTAACACTAGAACAGGAGGCACAGGGAGGCTGTGCAGTCTCCATTGTTGGATATTTAAAAACTGGGTGTGTTCCTGAGCCACTTGACCCTGCTTGCAGCAGGGGTTTGAACTAGATGATCTCCGGAGGTTCCTTTCACCTTCAACTATTCTGTGATTCTGTAAATCATAAAGCTATTAAATCAGTACAAATGCATCTTTTTTCATCATGTCTCCTTGGTAGCGTGATTGAAGGCGATGGTCAAATGGGTAGTTCTTCCTGAGAGGACTTTTCTTAGGGAGCTGATGTAGAACATTTTGAAATAAAGGTAATGACGATAACGAAAGGTTACTGAAAAGTAGCAGGTCTACTTCTTTGTCTTAAAAAGCTAGAAATCCGAAATTATGCAGGCCTCACATGCCCGCTTTCTTAATCAATTTTTATTGTTATATCTCCTAAATAGATATAACATTTTGTATTTTCTCAGTGGTAAAATGCAATGCATTGATAAAGCATGTTAACTTTTGTTTGGATTTAGATGTGAAGTAGCTTAGAATATCTCTTCCAGGTAAGATGGAGAAATGTGTGAATGGGACTATGAACGGGATTTCTTTGCTGTACTGATTAATTCTGGGAGACTCCATGAACAATATGTAAATTTCGCCAAGATTTCAGCAGGTTTGGGGAAGGTAGGAAGACTTGAAATAAACTGGTTAGGTTTCTGGAGTGGAATGAGCTAGTTGTAAAAGACACTGTCTGTGGAAGATAGCCTGTGAAACCATTCTGGGCATCACGCTGCCTCTTCTTGCCATCACTAGACACATTTACTGACCTTTAGCTGGTTATTATAAATCTTTAGGCTATGAACTTGTTGGGATAGAGTTGGGATACAGTATGGATATCAGCAGTCTGTGAATTCTGTAGTTGTACCAAGTGTCTCCCAAACTATGCAAAATCAGGAGTTCAAATTAAGATGCAGGGAAAAAAGATGATTAAAAGAAAAATAAAATCTTTAAGGGTGTGGTTTTTTTTTTTTTAAATGCATATAGGTCAGATTTGAAGAGCACTATCTAAGGGCAGATGATCAGAAATCCGTAAGTGCAAAAGATTGAGAAATACAAGTTCTACCCATGGAAGAGATTGCAGAAATTCTGGTTTGGTGTAAATAACTTTTAATTTATCTGAGCTGGCATGAAGATTGATGACACCTGAAGATATTCTGGTAGACCTAAGTGATAGGGTGAAATGAAAAGGGGATCATGAAGGCTTAAAGGCAGACTGAGGTGTAGCCTTTCTGCTGAACTTGGAAGTAAAATGGGGCAACTTGCCATTATTTAAAACTCTTAAGGTGAGGTTCATGTCACCTAACTTTAGATGTCCTAAGCGAGCTAGTATGCCCGAGCTTTCATTTATACCTGATGGAGAGGAATAGGCACTTCTAGGATGCATCCTGACATAGATACCTTAAAAACCCTTCTGGGATGGATGAATGGAGGTTTCTTTGCGCTGTGGGGGTAGCCTGTGTGATGTGACCTAGCTCGGATGCCTGCCGTAGAGACTCTTACTGGGTCAGAGGAATGTCATTCTTACTTTTCTAAACAAGGAGCCTTAAAATGCCTGAGGAAGTCAGTGGGAGCTTTGTGAATGAAATGTCCAAGGCAGTGTTCAAGGGACTACTTTTAGAACTATTTTTGGCCTTTAGGTATCCCAGCTTTTTGTAGTGCAGAAAGTATTCTTTTAGCGTGTGGAGTGTCAGTGTAAGCTTCATCCTGACGTTGCACAGATCAGATGTACTGGTGACATTACCATCATCTGCAACTGCCACAGGACTGATATAAATTTCCAGTTTATACCCAGTTACACCAGTTTATACCAGAAGTGGCAGAGCAGCTGGTTGGGGGAGGACAAGAGCAGGAGGAAGCCAGCATCATCCTACTTGGAATGGAAATACTAACAAACATCTCTGTTGTAGGCTTTGGTTTTTTTTTCTCTTAAAAGGCAAAGACAGAACATTCTGAATTGGGCAAAAGAGAACAATGGTAGGAGTTTAAAAATAGCACCAGAGTAAAAGCAAACATAGGCTGTCTGTTGGTGTTACACATTAAAACAAATTAATTTTGTGATTGTATTAATTGCCATATAACTACCCTCTCATGCCTTTTTCGTTGCAGTTTTTCATTTATGGGCATCAGTCCAGTGTCATCTTGCAGACAAACTGTGTATACATTCAGTTTTTTTAAAATCTTCAAGTATGGGCAAGTGGTTTATTATAGAATTGTCCCTCCTTAATAAGATTTACATATGATTGTTCAGACATACTATGCAAATGTGCCGCAGTAATCTTACATATCAGTGTGAATAAACCAATAAAAATAATGCAAATGAAATCCTGACCCTGGATCGTTATCTGGAATGCTGGATTTCTCAAAGGCATGGCTGTTGTGCTGTCTAACCTGTCTGTTGCAAGCTGCCAGATTCTTGATGTTTGTAAGAAATTAATTCCCTATGTGAGTGGATTGGATAGCAGTGAAGCAGCACAGCTCTGTGCAGAAGTTCATGTAGGATGGAGTTTACTGTGTTGAGGGCATGAGGTCTAAGTCATTGCGTCCACTAAGCTTGTTGATTTAATTGAAGATGCTTTTACTTTGCTAAAAAAAGGGGGGGGTGGAAAGAAAATTCTTAATTGCTTCAACCAACTTCATGGTTCATTTGACAGGACATGGTTCCTCTGCTGTTGTTTGGAAAGAGAAGGTGAATCAGATGGGGGCTCCTTTGAAACCTGTGCAGTTCTCATGGACTGGTGCTGCCTTTTGGCATTTCTTGTAATTTTAATATTTAATAAGTCAATTCAGTTATGAAAAACGGTTTAAAAAATAATGTGTTTTTCTTGCTAGTTTGAATGTTACTGTGTAGGGGGTACTGGGACACTGGAGTGGTGTTTGTCCATTAAATTCTTCATCACACCCAGAGGGATGTGCAGGGTGTTACAGCCTGAGATACCAGTTGTGTCCGCATACCTTGAATTCTGTCAAAACAGCACATTAATTGAATTGTGTGTGTTTTAATATTTAAAACAATTATCCAAGAAATACATCATAAATCAAAATTTTAGCATAGCAAATTACTAGAGCATAGTACTTGTTGCCTTATGTATTTCTAGTACTTGTACAATAATGTCGGGTGGTTTTGAGGTCCTTTAGCTACTGTTATAATAGAGCTGCAGTATGTTTCTGATGCCCAACATTAACATTTTCCATAATGGTGTAAATTATATCATGTATTTCTATAATGTTCAGTTACTAAAAAAACCCCTTGAAGTGATATCAAACCAGCAAAAATAGCGGTGAACAACAGCAGTTGATAAAAGAGCAGGAAAAATGTTCAGACTGCCTAAACTCCCTCAGCTGTCCAGCCATGTGTGCACAGAGTGACCAGGTCTTAGGAGAATTGAATAAAATCCAAGAGAGATGACAGTATTTTTAGAAGGAGGTTGAAGTGAAGGTACTGAAATAAAATAAAAATCAAAGAATTCATTTGCTCCTCCCGTACTCTGTTTCTCTTTTTGTAAAGTAACACAACTCTTCTGTATCTAACTTTTCTAGTATGGGTGTAAGCTCTTGGAGTAGGGAATATCTTTTGCTGGAAGTATTCGCAGTGCCTAAAATAACAGAGAATGAGGTCAGCTGAAGACTTTCATCGTCATTGTATTACTGTTGAATGATCTTTGAACCATGTAACCTTAATTAGGTGCCCCTTTCTTTGAACATTGAGAAATACCATCCTGCATCCAGTCCATGACAAACTTGAAAAATTGTTTTGAGTCTCAGTGGGCTGAACCCTGTTGACAGCTCACAGGCACGAGTCAGAACATTTGGCATTTGTTTGATCGTTTGTTTTTAGTTATTGTAGGGCTTGATACATGTGCAAAAGCTGTGTTCGTTCTGCCCGTTATCTATCACTTCTTAATTTCTAGACCACATGTACCAAGGACAAACTAGTAAAGTAAGTGGGTGACTTTATAGGTTATCCAAAAGTCAGAGTGAGATTTCTACCCTGTGGCATGTGTTATTGTGTTATGTGGGGCTTCCAGTTTCCTTGGTGCAAGTCTGGGACTAACTGAAACACCAGCCTTGGGCTGGTCTTAGTGAATGTTGCATAGTGAATTTATGTTGGTCAGTGGAGCTGCGTTCACTGACTGCGTGTACGTGGTGAGCTGACGGCAAATCCAGGGTAACATGAATTATCCTAGGCCACAGTGAAAGGCAGCTACATTCAGTTGAATAGTCTTCTGATAGTGGCTAAGATTGTCAGGACACCTCAGGTTGATAGCAACAAGGACTGTTCTTGCTTCCATAGAATTCAAGTGTCAGAATTGCATAGCAACATTCGGAAAAGCAGGGAGAAAAAGAAAGATGGAATAGGTGATGTTTCCTCCTGACTAATTTGCTGTATTTTCTATCTAGCAAAGATAACATGACATAGCATTGGGAAATTCAGCCAATTAATGGCCATTTAATTAAATACTTGAATACTTGGAAGTTGCATCACTTCTGTAATACTGATAAATTTTGGCTGATATGTATTGGGTAAAAAAAATCAGTCTGAAATCGATGTTAGACCACTTAATAGTGGAATTCTATTTTGTGTTTAGAGCAACAGAATGATGTCAGTTTAATACATTGGTAATTGAATGATTTCACTTTTTGTTAAATACTTCCATTTTTCTTTCAGTGTTTTGTCTCCTACTTGCGTTCTGTTTACTTAATGAAGAATAAAGAAGTATTTGATGTTTTCAAATTGCCTCTAGCAGAATATGCACTGTAAGTATGATTGACTTGGGAAATGAAAGCTGTGTAGTGAGAATTTTTGCAGCGTGTGATAGCTTTAAATAGGTGTTTTGACTATGTTAACCCACAGAATCGGACAGTCTTGTAATGTATTTACAGTTTCACATGTATGCCATGCTTTTGCATATTCAAAGACATTCCAAATGGAAATTGTGTGAAGAGAAAAAAAAAAGTATTTCTACAAAGAGAAATAACTTACGGCAGAAGGTACATTTGCTATATACAAGAGAAGGCACAACTTGTGAAGTAAAAGGATAGAGAACAATAGGTTTTATTTTTTCTTTACAGATTTGCCTTTTGGTGTCATAAGTAAATGCCAACCAGTACAGTGTATTATTTAAAAAGAAGTTGGAGTATCTAAAGATGATACATTGCAGTCTCATTTTGAGTGTGACTGGGGACATTGCTCCTTGGGAACAAATTACTTTTTGGAAGTTTCAGTGCACTTGGTGAAATATCTGCACAGGAGTGAATAGTACCTATTCTACTATGTCTATTTTTGTACATATATATGTGAAACATTCCACAATTTGTGTGGAGGGAAATTAATTTTGACAGGTTGACTTTACAGATGACAACCAGCCGAGATTGTTTTAAGATGTGAAGTTTTGGAATAGTCTCATGGGAGTCAGAAGGGAGCAGGAAGGTGCTCAAAGATGCATGGTAAATTAATTTTATGTCTTTGGAATTTCATAACAGAGAAGACTTAAGTCTTCAAACTTGTCAGCACGTGGCATAATGAACTAAAATGTGACAGATTACTAGACTGTTGAACACCTGGTCTTCCTGTGCTCTGCTGCAATTAACATGATAATTTTTTTTTTTAAGGTATATAAGCCTATTGTGAAATATGTTTTCTTACCTTATGGACTGAGAAATTTTTAAAAAGGAGAACTAGAAAAAACTTGAAAAATTTCCCTATGTCCATTGCCAGCCCTTTCACCTTCTGGTTCGTCAGCGTCTTAAAACCTTTACTGTACGTCCTGCTAAGCTCATTGTAAGGGTGGTGGCAGAAGATTAGTAATGAGAGGGATGACCACACAAATTTAACCAGTGGGTTAAGAAGCCAACTGACAGATGGTAGTAATGCTGATTTTTGGAACCCTGATGCCTCTTTCTGAATTTCAGCATGGTGTGCCACCTGGTATCTGATACTGCTGTGGACAGAGTTCGGTTCTTCTCAGACCTCTGTGCCAGGACTTGGTCCCTCATCAAAGTCAGTTCCAATCCCAGTTTTGCAAAGTTACTGATAAGTCATTCCTGTATTAAAAGTGGAAGAAACCAGGCAGTTGTTTGGAGAGAGTAGGAGAGGTTTAGTCAGGACTGTGGCATGTATGGAAGCGTAATCAAAAAGAAAATAAAAAATCTGGGAGTTAATTTGGGGATTCTGTTCTAAATGAACAGTTTGTTGGCACTTTTCTTCCCCACTCACCAGACTGCTAGTCTACCTAAATACACCTCAAAGACCCCTGGTTTTCAGTTCAGTGCACATCCCTGGGTACAGTGGATCAGTCAGCCTAATTTATGTCAAAGGCCCTCGAAGTCTGGTACTTCTGAATTCTGCATTCAGGAGCAACCTTGGTTTATGTTCCGAGCACAAACTCACAGCAAAACCTGGAATGAGAATCCTTTCTTCCCTTTACCTTCTCTGTGTATCTCTGAAAAGTATTTTTGCCTTTCTGTGGAGATTTACTGCTAGCTTGATAGATGTTACTCCACTACAAATCCTGCAGAGAAAACAGGCTGCTTAATGCCCCTGTCAGGTTTGCATTTCAGCCTGTCAGGCCGTTGCCCATTTTCTCCACTGCTGTCTTGCCTGGCATGTCTGTCCACTGAGATTCTCTTAAGTGCTGTTCAGTGAGTCTGCAGAAAAGCTGTAGTCTTTTTGATTTTTAGATATTATGTAAAATTATTTATATATTATATAGAATTGATACACACCTAGAAAACAATATATATAAAATGTGCTTTTGCATGTCTGTACACGGATACCATAAGCATTGTAGAGTTTTATCACCTTTAAGCTATGGTACATTAGTATTCTCTCCAGTATCCCCTCATTACAAAGTGCTATCAAGAATAATTTGCTGGAGGAGGACTTGCACAGGCCTTGTGTTAACACAGGCAGCCTTAAAGTTTGGTGACGGAGAACTTCGATGCTTGCATAAAAGAGACATTTGTCTCTTCATTGCAATGGACAGCTTTGAAAACATAAGAAAAGGTAAACAAACAACAGGGCTGAGGGAATAATTATTTAGTCTGGTCTCCTGGATAGGAGACAAGGTACAGAGGAGGCAGGGATTCAAAACACTTCTCAGACACTTCATTTTGTTAAATACTAATCTTTCTCTCTCTCCTTCTCTCTCTCTTTCTCTCTGTATATATATCTCAGACTTCAGGGGCAGATCTTAACAGGCCAGTGTGCTGTCTCAACAAGTTAGTCACAGCTCTAATGGGCTTCTAAGGAAGGTAATTTCATCTGTTACTTTTGTCATGTCTTTCAAGGAGGAATATAACACATTTTTCTCTGTTTATCCCTGTATTGGTACACAGAGAATAAATAAAGCAGGTTGAAGCCAAGTTTTTTGGGGAATGTCGGATGCACACATCTTAGAACTCAGCTAGTTTTGCTTACAGATCAGCATTACAAAGCAGTAGGTAGATGCAGGTGCTGTCAGGTCTGAACTGAGTGCTACCAGTGTATGTGAGCCGCCTGTCCCCTGCCTGACCAGGGAAAGCATCCCCTGCATGCTCTCTCCCTCCCTTCCCCCTCCCTTCACCGCATGGTCAGGGCAGAGGGTTTGGTTCGTTGTCTTGCTCTGGCTGCCATAAGCAAGGGCAGGGCTGCCTGTCACATCCCCCAGACGATGCCCATCACAGACTTTGCACATCTTGTTAGCCCTTTGCTGATTCTTGGCCCTCCGTCTCGCTGCCCCTGTACTTCCATACTTTTTAGTCCCCTGTCTCCATCCAACTGAAAAGCCTGCCCCTAATTACTTTTTCCTAGTTGTTTTCAGCCACCATACATGTGTAACCAGCCTTTATACTTCTCGTGGTGTTACCTGGTTAATCTCAACCTCATATGGCATTACTCATACAGACCTCAGTATTCCCTCCAGTGATCTGCGGAGTTTGGGCATTTCTCATGCAACTCCCCCTCAACCGCCTGTGAGATCCAGCCATCCCTTTCTGAGCTTTCTGTAACTTCTGACCTTTCTGATCCTCTCATGCAGTTCTCTGAATAAGCTGCAGTTTCCTCTCTCCGAGTCCAGGGTCATTAGTCTCTTGGACATCATTCTAGTTTCTTCCAGGATCTTGAACTACCTTTTCTCATTGTGCAGCCAAGCCTGCTAGTGACCTTCACTCACCTTACAAGTAAATATGCTTGCATATGCATGAGTAGCAGTTCCAGCAGAGTGTCTCTCGAAGTTGGCTAATCCAGCTAACTTGGAGAAATGGTCTTTGATCCACTCTCGAAATCTCTGTTGCTTGTGCTCTACCGTTGTTGCCCTTTGAGCGGGTGTCAGGGTGGCTGAGGTGCCAAGAGCAACAGAGCCAGCAACTGCAGTGTGGAGACTTCTTTGACTTTGATGAAAGAAGGCTACATCTCAGTCTTCTAAGTGATTGGATTCCAACCGTGACAGTCCTCTTTGTTGGCTGTCTCTTTGATACTGACACACAGACTCTTGATTAGCTTGGCTTGCTTTATTATTAGTAGAGGACCATGCATTTGGGCGCCTTCATGTAGAGGGCTAAAGCTGACTAGTCAAATAAATAACACAGCAAAAGCAATTTCTCTGTTCGTTTTGGTTATTAATCAGACCATCTGGAAAGACTGTTAATTCAGATTTGTGTCACTTCAGTTCATTTGATTTCTCTTGTTTTCCAATGGTTGCTCATCCTGTCTCCTGAAAATATTTTAACTGTTAAATGTAGATGTAGCATGTATGGCAGGGCAAGTAATACGCACTTCTCTTGAAATAGCTTCTGGGAGTATTTAACCTTTTTCAGGCTATTTTAAATCTCTATCTGAACCTGTTCTACCGTAAAACAAATCACCATGCTGTGTTTTCATGTGTTCAAATCAGTCTGAAGAAGTTCACTAATGGAATATGTCTTATGTAGTAACTTTAATATTAGAATGGAGCACAAAGTTGTGTAAAAATGTTGTGCAGCAGTTCTGCAGAAGGGACCTCTGGTTCTTTACAGCTGGCTTATACTTCAAAAAGGACTGGATAGCTTCTAGGTATGCATTAGGAACTCTTGTGACACTTAAAAGATTGTGCTTGTCTTTAAATGTCCTGGTTAATTTGTTTTGCCTAAGGACAGATTTTGCCCTGAGTATCTAAGAATCTGTCTTTTTAAATAGTTCAGAGATGCCCAGCTTTTCAGCCAATCCAAATAGAGGGATAGTGAAATTACTGGTTTTATGTAAACATATACAAGATCTTTGTATAAGCATAATTGACAAGCCTTGGAAAAGGCAGTATTTTAAGTCTGATACACTATTCATTTGAATTAATTTTTAAAAATGTTTACTAATGTTTGGTTTTGCTTATTCAGTACCAAAGCAAAGTGATATTCTTCTTAAAGCCATACAGTGTTTTTTCTTTGGAGTTTTACTCTTTTAACTTATTTCCTGAAAATAATTGGCAACTTGTTTGAGTTGAAGGAGGTACATGAGCATTGTAGGTTTCTGTTTGGTTACTTCTACCCATTCCCTGATCAGTGTTTGGGAATGATGATGTCTGACTACCTCAGTTTGTGTTGATGAATAGAGCTGTCAGCTATGCTTTCATTTATAGTGGCAAAATAATCGATTGGTTTCAGTAGTGTCTTTAGAAGCTGATCTGATATGCCTTTCTATAGGAGCTTGCTCCCAAGAAGTCATTGCATTTCACAGCAGAACATGAAACAGGATTGTGTGCTGGTTTGTAGCTGAATCTGTGTTGCTCTTTTAAGGCTACCATGGTCTGAGGACTACACCGTGGTGTTGGTATGTTTTTAGTGTTCTGTTAGAATTTAGGATATCTCACGAAGTAACTTTTTTCTGTCTTTATGAGAAAACCTTGCACAGACCTCATTTCAGGGATGTATGTGAATGCTTGCACTGAAACAAAAGAATCACTTCAGCTGGAGTAGGATTGTGTTCTGAGTTGCATGTAATGAATTAGTGAAAACTAATATTTCCCTTTCTAGCTGATGGGAAGGAAAGCTGGTTCATATTTCAGTTTTTTAGTTGGACCAAACTCTAGATTGGGCAAATGATTAAGAAATAAATTCTAAAGAAACTGTGAAATCTTTCAACATGAGTAAACTTTTAGCAGTAGTGGAATGTGTTTGTCCCAAATTGTTTTCCATTTGGAATACACTATAAAAAAGAGGCAGTCATGAGCCAAAATGATGACATTTCTTTGAGAAGTTATGTCATTAAAAGTGCTTGGGGACTGTTTGTTTAAGCTTTTCTATTGTTACTTTCTTACCAAACTTGACCGTAACACCTTCCCTTTCTCCCCAAGTCTTAGGGCTGTATTCTTTTTGTTCAGATGTCATTTGAATTCGGACACCACTGGTCTTTTATTGGTGGGGTTGCTAATCAGTGTAGAAGAATTGGCCAACGCTCATAATTAATTTTATGGAATTATTGAAGAATTACATCAGCAGAACAGCAGTCTGGTGGGTGGGATTTATATTTGAATGAGAACCTGTGCTGAATCCTCTTCCGTGTCACAAACTGCTCTTTTTGACTTGTCTTTTTTAACTTTTCCCATGGAGAAAGTAATGTCTTCACCTTGTCAAGGTGTTCTTTGCAGTCATGATCCTGCTTTTTGATACTAGCTCTGGAGACACAGAAGGGAAGCCGTGATAAAGATGGAGTGTATGTGTCTGTCTGTATGAGAGAGAGAAGTGAACCCCGATTGCGTACTTGCCATACAATACTACTACTTGCAGTACTTTGTCAGCAGTTGGCAGCAATACCTTATGTAGAATAATGTTGTGAAATCCAGAAAGGCAAAAAAGGTGTTTCTCTTGCAAAAGCTTTTTTTTTTTTTGCTATGTTGATCCCCTTTCCGAAGAGTTTGCACATTCACTGAGGTTGCAGCAGTCTCTTTATACATGTTCTACTGTGCCTGCTCTTAAGGACCAATTCCAGGTTTGAATCTCCTCCAGCTCCTGCACTGAAGCATTATATTTACTTTGGTTATTTCCTTTCAGTTTGTCAATATGCCAAACACATAGTTTCATTGCAGAGGTCATCAGTGTTAGCTGTCAAACACTGGAACCAGTTTAAGATTGCAAGTTGCTCGAGTTTCAGTTCCCAAATGTGCTGTGTTACCGTCTCAGCAGGGCACTGTCCCTGCATGTGCAACATACACTGGATAAAACATTACTTAGATTTTTTTTTCATAAAACTTGGATTTCCTTTTTTTCATAAAACTTTATTTCCTTTAATATTGTTGTTAATTGCTTGTAGAAGAGCATTCGGTTATCAGACATACTTAAACAAAATTAACTTTGCATTAATTTTCAGGCTTTATTTGTTGAAAAACTTGTTCCTCATCCTAACAGCGTGGGCTGCTTTTTGGGTGTGCGTCCGCTTTACAATGCTTTAACCTGTGGCCAGTACCAAAACTGCCCAATTTAACCACAGGTGTGGTTGTGTTTGGGTTGGTTGGTTTGTTATTTAAGCAGGGTGCCTCTCCTGACTGCTACAAACAGTTCAAGGCTCTCCAGGCCCTACAGTCCACTCTAGCTGCTCTGCAGTACGTTTGAGTGCTTCATGGGCTGTTTGCGGTGACGTTTACACCAGGGAGTATAGATTTGATTTTTCTCCTGTGACATAACTCAGGTTTCATTGTTCAGAGCTGAACTGTGAAGAGAAGGCATAATGCTGTCTGCTTGAAATGAGCAGCACTGGGGGGAGATGTAATGTGTAATTGCATAATCTGGATCAAAAGGGTCTCTTTTGTGTGTGTGTGCATGTGTATGTATGTAGCCATTTTAGTTGGTGAAATACTTTACTCCTTTGCTAAGTGTGTGTACAAGCCCTGAGCATTACAAACACTATCTATTCCATATTGTATGGTTTTTTACACACACACACTCTTGTCTACAGCTTGTCAGGTTCTTGGCTTACTTTCTTTTCCTGGGAACATTTGTAATTGGTCTTGAGAGTTCTCAGTTATTTTGTCTTCCTTCCTTGCCCAATGTTCACTTGCATTTTTCAAGCTAGATTGTCCTGTTGTAGGCTAAATACCGTTTTGTAAGTATGGTGGGCAAAATGTATCAATCTGAATTCCCATAATTAAAATCTGATCCCTTGAACCATTGATGAGGACCTCCGATTTAGTCAACTTTTGTGTATCTACCCTTCAGATTAATTTATTTAATTCCGTGCTTTAGGTCACTTGGTCTCGCAATGGCACCTCGTGTGAGATTTCTTCAAAAAGTTCGGAAACAGCTGTGTGCGAATGAGGCGGCTGATGGGATGGATCACTTGGGGGAGACAGAGCAAGATAAAAGTACCATCTCCTCAACAAACGATGGAGTGGAGAAATGTGGAACTACTTTCAGTGGGAACATGTCTGTTAGCAAAACAAAGGTAAAAGAGAGCAGGAAAGAAACTGAGGAATGTTCTGCTTCCAGTGAAGGTGCTGAGGAGAGTGGTGAGTCTGAGGAGGAATCAAAAGAGGTATCTGAGGAGGAAGAGAAGGAGGAAAAAGAAGTTCCTGTACCAAGCAGGGTTCCAAACCCAGACTCCATGCAATTCTTTGAAGGTGATGATGACGATGACGATGATGCCAAAGATCCTGATTTGCTAACAGTGAAACGACGGAATGTTTTTGGTGTGGGAACTGAAGATAATTCAGCACCGGTAAGTGTCCTTTTTATAGTAAAGCTCATGAATGTTAAAAATTTTATATTGGACATATTCCAAGTAGGGAGAAGGAGAAAAGAGAAAATTCTGCACTTAGCAGAATGCTTGAATTCAGATGTGTTGTCAATACGTATCAGAAAGTCGTAATTGCTCCCAAAGATGAGTGGTGTGACTTATCAATTTATGTTATTAACAGAAAGTAATTTTAGTTGCTTTAAAAAAATCCTTGTAGTTGCTTTAATTTATGAATAACATTATTTGAATACCTGGGAAATTTTGACAATTTTAATTCTTACCACTTACTAATTTGCATGTGCCTCTCTGAAATAGCTGCCACTTTCAGTCATAACTTGGATGCTGAACCACAGTTTATGGCACTGGGAACCAAACTGCAATCCAGGATGAGCCACTTTATGATATGAACCCTAACAAATGATCTTTACAATAATGTAACCTTCAGACCATGATTTTTACTTTCAACAGGACCTTTGCTCCTGAGGGAAAGGGGAGGCGGGGGGCGGAGCAGGGAGGAGTGTGGAGAGAGCGGGCCAGCACACTTCTTGTAAAGCATGGTTATAAAGGCTTACTAAAAGTATTCATGTAGATCTTTCATTTCCTTGGTGAGTAGCTTTATAATTCAGGATTTCTCTGTGCTTGGTGTTCTGAGAAATCTTGCTTTCATTTAATCTTTAAATACAACCTCACAGTAAGGGTGGGTTTGGTGGTGGGGTTTTTTTTTTAATTATTTCTATAAAGCAGATTTGGTATGTGCATATTGTGAATTTTGTGTGTATCCTTCGCTATATAGCAACTATATTTCTGTAGTAAAGAGATCCAAGTGAAATGGCCATCTGCTTCAGCAAGATGTTTTTCTGAACTTCCATGCATGCAAAGGGAGCCTCCTGTTAAGCAAAGTATTCATTTTTTCAACTGGTATTTTAAGTCTTTCTCTGCTGTTACGTAACAACACAGGGCACTTGTCGTCATGAACTTCTGCTACTCAGCTCACTTGCTGCCTTTACAAGCAGCATCTTTCCTTTAAGCTAGTTTTATCATCTAACTTGTCGAAGGTGAGCAGTTGCACAGTATCCTGACCACTGCCTGGACGTTCTCCTCTACTGTGAGGAGGCTGCTGCACATTTCCATCTTGTCCCAGTACTATGGGAGGTGTATGTTCTTGGAATTACCTTTCTGTTCCTGTTATTCTAAACCTGAGATGTCCTGCCCCGGCACAGCCTCTGCCTGGCAGTAGCTCATATTTATTAGTATAAATTTTGATTTCATGTAGGAAGGATATTGCTCTTTTAAAAACGAAGTGGAGTAAAATATTTCTGCCTTAGTTAAAGAATGGTACTCACAGCTTTCATATCACTCCCACAATTTTCTGTGCACACAGACAATTTCATGTTGCTTTTGTATGTTGGAAAGTGAATTGGGAAGTTTTGTTCAGGAAATGGTAAAAGGAGAAACTTTGATATGAAAGAATGAACAAAACACCTTTTATGAGAAATATCAGTGATTTAGAAAGTAATTTGGAACCTCACTGGGTAACCTATTAGCAGTTTTCCAGCATTAAACATTTATAGGTTAGTTTATGCTCAGGCAAGTCAGACATTATTTTCTGTGATTCAGCATTGCTAAACTGCCCTAAGGGTTAGTGGTTTGGGCTTGGTGTGCGAGTGTGGAAGACCTTGTGTCACCTGAAACCTCTTGTACATGAGGGCATTATAGTGAAATATTTAGTTATTCTTCTAAGCAGCTGTGAACAAAAAAATGAAAAGTTTCAAGATCTGTATCATTAAGAACACAGAAGAAATAGAATTTAACTAATCTACAGAAATGCCTGTGGTCGTGCAATATGTAATTTTTAGAAAGCAGAAATGCTGAAGGTAGTGTGCTTAACTGTGGGAATTATTCTTGATCGATGCATATGGTAGTGTCATGTTTATTTCCTTATGTTACTGTGAAAACTGTTGATAAATTTTGGAATGCTTTAAATTTCATTGCTATTTTCAGTAGGAATGAAAGAATGAAGGTTTCTGTCACTAACCATCTATTGTCTTAATGTTTTGGTATACAAATGCGCATAACAAGTTAAATAGAAAGATTCAGACACTGAGCCTGTTTTATGTCGTGTGTGTACATCAGTACCACATCTTGTGGATGTTAAATTGTAACTTGCAACACTATTTATATATTTTTTTTCTCCATTTTTTTATTTTCTGGATAAAAGTCTTGGGATTATTCCTGCATTAAGGTAGATGAGTTCATATCCAAGGAATTGGAAAGAATTGATCCCTCTGGGGTTTGAGGAGCACCAAGCAGCGTAAGCACAGTTTTCCTGCTGCTCTGTTGGAGTGCCCTCCTAGGGAGGACTTGGGAACCTGTTTGACTACAGTGTACTGGATCATTGCTGCATTTCTGGGGTGAGGCTGTGCATTAATGAATAATATCAAACCCTGCAGTGAGTCTGGGAGTATGAACGTAGAGTGTATACTCTGCTACATCAGTTCGGAGGGTTTTTTAATGTATTCTATGTGCTAAATAAGGTAGGAGTCCTGTGGAAACCTGAGCATGTGATCATCTGATTGGGAGATTATGAGTATGCCCACAAAGGTTGAATTCAGTTTCCATTTATGCTTTTAATGTCCATGATTGATTTTGCAATTTCACTATTGGTACACGATGCTTATGGTTGACAGTGAAAGAGTCCCGCTGTGATTGTTGAGGTTCAGGATGTTTCTGTAAATGGAAACATTACATTCAGATCCTATGTTTTAATAGCTGTTGGTAGAGACACCTTTGCTTCCTTATCCTTGTGTCTTCCCTAGCCCCTCCCGTGGCAGGAACGAGGTAAAAGGAGCAGGGGTTATGTAAACTGGTGAGGGAGTAGAAGGGGATTTGTGTGGCTTGCTTAGGGCATTCAGCTTTTGGTGACTGTCCATGGTGCCCAACCTAACAGCGACAGGAAGATCACAGTGTGAGCTGAGACACGGCCGACGCTAGCTCCTGTGCTAGTACGGCTTGCAGCTCGATTCCACTTTCTCCTCTCTTGCCCTCTTAGTGTGACTCTTGGCCGTCTGTGTACTCTGTCGATTTTCTGACAGCAAATACAAAGAAAAATCGGTTCTCTCTGCACTGCTGGATGTAAGAGGAAGCCTTGGATAAGGTGAAAGACCTTGGTAAATATTACAATTTTGTTATGAGCTTGAGAACTCATTTTTTAGGAGGTACTCACTAGCTGCCCTATTTATGTATTTTCCTTAAGTATGTGAGGATTTTCAGCTGGTGATATGGGACTAATTCAGAAGTACGATGTTCTTAGGCATAAAAAGAAGGTTGGCTATATGCATAGAGCCATTAGCAGATATGCAGCATTTATCTGTTGTGTTAACATTATGGAAATTATCCTTTTGAAGTGTGTTTAACAATAATAACAGTATTGATGTTGCAAGGACTATAACTATTCCCTGGTTAAAAGTTTTGTTTTTAATGATAATTTTAGGAAATTGGCCGTTGTGTATGAAAAGGCAAAGCCTGTTCTTCTTCAGCTTCAGGCATTATTTGTTTTGCGAACTAAAATTAAGCCTATAGTATTTTTTTCTTCATTTTAATTTTAGTCCTCATCAGACATACTGCACACTGTCAGACTTTCTTCTATCAAATTTTGTTTCAGGATAGAGAATATTAAACTTAAGATTACTGTGACTCCCTCATTGCTCCCCTGACTCTTGATTTATGGACCCCTGGAACTTTTCAGGTGGGGTACGTACTGGGTGCTTGGAACGCTGTAATAAGCATGAGCTTACTGAGGGCTGCCTTAAATAGCGCTTGCAGATTCCTCGGAGTTAGGACTCTCTAAGAGCCTGTGTTTGAATACTGTGGCTATGGAGGGAAATTACATGCCATGGTTCTGTCTCAGCTAGCCGGCTTACCATGTCATCCAGTAATAATACTACATACAGTAACATTTTCTTACACTTCTCAGACACATGAACACTGTAAGCTGAAATTTTATGACCTGGATGTGTACATGTCTATAAAAGCAGGAGAGAACAGACAAGGGTAAATCTCTCTTAATAAACAGAAGGTGTGCACCGAAGTGAGGACATAGTTCTCTAGAATTTTCTTCTGGGATGTTGAGAAGAAAGCTTGTTACCAGACAGAGAAATTAAAATTAATTTTCACCATTGTGATTCATCTTAATTGCTTCTCTTACATGGGCTTTTCCTTCTGAATGAGATCTCTTTCCTTCTGTTCCATATAATGAGATAGATTTTTACCACTCTTGTGTTTATATACTGCTTTTTCTCTGTGAAGCATCCTCTCATTCCTCTTACCAGCTCTTCCTATTTCTTATTCTTGTGCTTTCATATTAATTTGTTCAATACGTGACTCTCTCTTCGTGGTGCTTTTCAGGGGGATGGTGAGATAGACAATACCCAAGGGAAGGAAGAAGCAAAGGAGTGAGCTGGCTGACTCTGGTAGCAGCGTTCTTTCCCTTATGGATAGCCCTCTTTGCTTTTGCTGTAGCAGTGTGTTGTGTCCAAGAGAAGAAAGCTGCTTCAAGCATCCCGCCAGCTAGAGAAAGAGCATTAGTCCTAGGAGACGTGTTGCAAAGCTGGCATTCTGGTAGAGAAAATATAGAAGTTATTTATTTTTAAGTTAAATAGAAGTCAATACTGCGGTGCATTGTATACCATAAATTCTCTTTCGTACAGAATGTAAGTTCCTTAGGTTATCAGCCTAGTAAGAGTGTGCTTCTGTATTTCTTGTTGAATTATAGCAAGTCGTGTTTTATACGAAGTACAAAATATTTGCATACAAGTGAAGTAGGCCTACGTTTGGATATCAGTCAAAGTGCCTCAAGAATACAGTGTTATGAAAAAATAACTTTTATCAGCCCTGAATGGAAATGTAAACCTGCTGATGGGTACCTAAGGCCTCTTTATGCAGAGCAGCCAACACAGAGTGCCCTTCACAGGGTGGATGGAAAA